TAATTGAGTTATTTATATAGACTAGGATGTTGATGCATGTATATTGAAATGTGTTTAACCAATTTTTGTATCAATGCTTTATATATGCATGGTAGTCTACTCAATGACCCCGTCTCCAGTGTCTGTTTCGAGTTATATTTGAGCTATGTATATATTTCATTTTGCTATAGTTGATTTTGTGGTAGCATTCCCATTGTTGTCATTTCATTGAGTTTTTCATTTTAGTTTTGCTAAGGGACTAGCAAAATGTAAGTTTGGGGGTGTGATAAGCGCCGAATATTGCATATTCAAGCGCCTTTAGTTGCATTAGTTAAATCTATTATTTGATTATTCTTTATAAATTATCTTCATTTGCACGTTTTTTTATATATTTTCAGGTTCATTGGCTAAAAAGAAGCAAAAATGGTGTTTTATTCAATCTTTGAATAGCAATGTGCTCAAGGCTAAGTTCTGGCAGCAGTGGAATCTGACTTTGCTCGCCATTTTTTACCAATCAAACTCGAGAACTGGACTTCCATTAAAACATGACATATTTAGAGCTTTGAATTAGCTTTCCAAATCTTCAAACGGTTCGTCATTTGGAGTTCGGAGCAGAAAGTTATGGCTATCTACCAAAGTAGTGCAAAGCAGGTCAAGAGGAAGGAGTATACTGGTCCACCTTCGAGCGCTCAAAGTGCTTAGTTCGAGCGCTCGAACTATGGGCAGACTACTCTCCGAGAACCATCACTTCAGCCCACTTGCACCTTGTTTCCCTCATCTCTGATTTCCATCTTTATGGGTTGGTTGGAGATGTCTTTTGGTGGGGTTTTGAGCCTTGTTTGGTGGAGAGGAATATCTAGAAAAGGAGGAGGACCACACATAATAGAGATATATCTCATCTTTATAAGATTTTTGGAGGGAGAAAGAGGAGAAAAAGATAGAGTTCTTGAAGCCAAGGGAAGGGAGCTCGAAAATGGAGGTTACATCTAAGCTTATTCCTTCTTCTAAAGCTCCCATGGGTAACTAAACCTCCATCTAGGGAGGTGATGAGGCCCCTCCCTTGTAAGCATGTCCTAATTTAGGCTATATTTTGGGGATTACAATGTATATTCTTTGGTCTTTTCATGGTCTAGAGCATTTTGCTTTTTATAATGGATCTTCATGTATTTAAATGATTAATGTTGAGTCAATTATCTATCTTTGATGGTTTATTCTTTTAATCATGTTGCTTGCACTCTCATGGTGACAATGGTAGTGAGATCATGGAATTGTTTTAATGGCATGGAGTTGGAGAACTTTGATAGATCATTGCTTAGGTGAAACCTTTGATGATTTATGCTTATTTCTTACCTTCATGTGCTTCATCATTTTATCTAGGGCTTGATAGTCTTTCATTCAAGTAAATATGGTTAAGCTACACCTTAGTTAGGTAGTCTAAACATGTTAACCTTTGATGGATCATGCTTACTTCAGATTTAATGAACTTCTTGAGGATATTATAACAACCAAGTGTTGCTATGTATCATGACCATAGTATATACTGTTTTTTCTCCCAATTTAGCTCTAACCTAGCATGTGTATAGGGATAGAGGCGGATTCACTTCCCTAGTCTTCTTTACTTGTATTTTATCTCCCTTAAACTCTTGCAAACTTTTAATTTATGCACCTTAATTTCATAGCTTAAGTGACAATCAACAAATCCTCTATGAACACCCCTATCATTCTAAAAAGACTCTAGACACTTAGGTTGTCATAGATTAGCGCAGTCCCAGTGGTTCGACTTACCCGACCAATAGCCCTATTTTATAATGATTCGTGCTATTGCGAAGGTTGATTTATAATTGTAATTGACTCAACCGATCAATCGTTCCACTCCTCCGGTGCTCTTGGTTTAACCCAGAAACACTCCACTCCTTCCACCTTAAGCCTCTCTGTAAATTACTCAAACTCCCTCTCTGTTTCTCTGCCCTCACAACTCTTTGTATCCCTCTGTAACGTGAAAAGAGTTTATGTGTTTTGTTTTCTAAAACCCTAAACCTACATAAAGAATATATTTATAGGCTCAATACTCCAACCCTAATCCTTGTATAATTAGAGCCCCAGTCGACCCAAGAAAAACCTAAGTTTTAACCTATGTTGGCTAAACATACATAAATCCTTTAACTTAATTAAACTATAATTTAATTTAAACAAATAAAAATACAAGTAATCAAACTAAAACACAATTAAATAATAATTCAATTTAAAACAAATATTACAAATAAATCAATTAATTCAAATAATCAAGCAAATAATTAATTAATCAAAACAAACAAATAAATGTATTAAAAATACACATAAATAATTAAAACAAAGTCCAGAACTGTCCTTTAAAATTAGGGATATTACATAAGGTATGCTTCACAAGAAATTCTAAAAAAAATTATACATGCTTACATACATCATTTCTAGCAATTAGTAATACAATAGGCATAAGAAATCAACACTTAAGCATGTTTTTCATACACATCAATTAATACATAAAATCAAGAACTTTATACACCACAATAAAATCATTCTAGGGTTAATTAACATCAATTAAACATGTTAGTAACAATTAACAAGAAATTGACTCACAAAGGAACAAGAAATTGGGAATTAGGAACTCCTACCTCAAATTACGACAAAAACCCCCAAATGGGTCTCAAAACCGGAATCCCTAGAGTGCACTAAAACTGAAATTGCTTATACGGATGTGAAGATCTCGCCGTACTCTTCGAATTGCCGCAAATGGCTTCCAAAAATTCCAAGTAATGAAGGAGAAATTAAATTTTGAAGCTTGAAACCCAAAAGAAAGAAAGAAAAAAATAAACAAATCTAGAATGGGAGAGAGAGAGAGAGTTTAGCGGGAGAAGAGAAAGAGAAGTGAGAAATGAGGCCAAAAATGCCTCTTTGACTATTCTTAAAACATTTATGTGGGCCCCATCTCTATTTTTTTTTAAAAAACTTTTATTTTCTCTTTAATTTAAACCACAATTACTCACATATATACACATATTTATCCCCAACCACTTAAGACACATTAATTTAAAATAAATATGATGCAAGTGGACCCAATTAAAATCCTCGCATGCAACAATTCCGGTAGCGGGTCCCACGCGGGACTGTTCGGTTCAAAAAAGGGAAAAAATGCAAAAATGACTAACATTTGCATTTCAAAGAGTTCTGGACTCAATGAAATGCTCCAAACAATTCTCGGATATAATCGGCACACTCCGCAGTGTTCGGTACGAAAAATATGAAAAGACAAAAATGCCCTTCTAACAATAAAAATTCCGAAAAAAATAGAAAATGACGAAATTCAGAAGTATAACAATATAATTCTATAGAATTTATGGCATTTGAACTTTTGAAGTTTACTCTATGATAACAAAGTTGTGTTTTCATACAGGGCGAATGTAGGGGTGGGCTTGAGCCCAAGCAATTTTTTTATTATTATTTTTTACTATACTAATTTTAGTTGAGTCTAAAAAAAAAATTTATTAATAGTATTAGCCCACCCTAAAATTAGCTCACCCAATCAAGCCTAAGTCAACTCAGTTACCATACTAAAATTAAGGCCCAAGCCAAATAAGCCCAGGTGCGGCCCTGACCCCAAGGCGACAAAGGCGGTCCGCCTAGTGTCTCAAAATTTATAGGCCCATGGATGATGGGCCTCCTGGAAAAAAAATATTTTTAGGGCAAATCATTTCAGCCTCCCCAATCGCCTCCATCTCTATTCTCGTTCTCAACTTTCTCTCTCTCTCTGCAAACTGCCAATTACAAAATTTACAAGAATCAGAAGTTCAAAACCCATATATTTCAGTTTATCTATATGTTTGCAAGAATCAAAAGTTGAAAACCTATTACCTATATCAAAACCCATATCGGCATATCATTTCAGATTGTTCAAAAAATCAAAACCCATATCTTTCGGTTTCCATCACCCGTTGTTCCAATTCGGGTTCGCCATTCGCAAGCTTCAGCCGCTGGCCTGCTGTCTCTCAACTCTCAAACTTGCCCTCCTCTCTTTGCAACTGCTAACTTGTATGGATGGGTTTTGTTTTAAATTTTTTTCTAAGTTAACTAATCAAGGTCTGTAATTCTTGTTTTGCAAACTAAATCCTATTTGGTGAAATTTTTTATGATCTTTTTTTATATAATTTTTTTTTTTTTTACAATATAAAGTAACAAAATTTGCATTGCATTTTAGGTAATCATTACATTGCATTTTACACTGTGATCTACATTTTATTTCTGCAAAACAAATGGTATTTTTTTTTTCCTTTCATTTCTGTAACTTCTGTTTCGGTTTTTTTTTTTTTTTCTTGTCAATTATGTCTACAAGAAAATTTGAATCTGGGCATGACAAAAGGAAAAAAAAAAGAATCTGAATTGGATTCGAAATTTGCAGAGATTGAATCTGAAACAATTTTTATCAACATGCCAAGCTTTTTGAAGATGGAAATCTTTTCAGAACTAAAAAAAAAAAAAAAAATCATAACAAGAACTTTGACAAGCAAAAGTAGTTAATATAGGGTAAAGCTCTAAAGTTACTTCTTGAAAATTAAAATACTTACAAAAAGCATGCTTTTGAGTGAATTCCATAGTGTTGGAAGGGGCTTGCCATGAACTACCTCACACTCTGCTTCCACTAGTAGATTCACAAATAGGATTACTAAATTGGTCAAAAGAAGAGATAGGGTACTGAGTGGTGAATTGTTGAGAAATAAATTGATAATTTTTTTTTTATTAATTATCCAAATGGAATTTTCTATGCTTAATCAGTCAATTGTCTAAAGAAATATCATTAATTAACTAAAATTGAATTAAACAACAGTTAATTTTGGTTGATATATTTTGATTTAGTCCAACAAAGCAGCATGGAGACAGTGTATGTATTTTATATTTATACGTGCCAAGGTGATGGGCCTCTTTTGGTCGGGCATACGACGGCGCCGAATAGCCGCCTATTGGCGTCAAAGCCATTTGTTTGTTGGGACTTTGAAGTTTTTAACGAAGATTTTTTTTTTTGGAAAATGATATGCTTGATTATTGTTTTTATTTGACAAGAAAGCCCCCTTTTCTCTTAAACAAGTCCCGTCTAGGTTTCAGTCTGACCCCTCTCCCTGTTCGAGCTCGTCGACGGCAGAGTCTCCGCCGATTCAACCTACTTCAACAGTACAATTTAGATCCCACTCTTTTTACAACAGCTGCATAACATTATTTCTATCTTTCACTCTCTCAAGCTATATATATGAATGAATGTTTGTGATCAGTGATCTTTATTTCTATCTGAATCTTATCATTTTCCTCTCTGATGCTTTCGTTTTTGCAGGATTAGATTAGTTTAGAGGAACTCAGTTATGGCTCTGCTAGTAGCTTCTCGTCGTCTTTCAGGCGGATCGACGACGTCGTCGTTAATGGTTGGATCGCTACGTCATGTTCCTTTTTGGAGATCGTTTTCAACTTCTTTTAGGGAGGAAAGAGACACATTCGGGCCCATCCAAGTTCCCTCTGATAAGTTCGTTCTTTCTTTCTTTCCCTTTTGATTTCAGTTTTATGAACTTTTAAGCTTTTTTTTTTTTTTTTTGGTTAAAGGGGTAAGCTATGAATTTTAAGTTTCTTCTTTGTCAAATACATAACAAAAGTAGATTTATTAACAAAAAAAAAAGGGGTATATCATATCAATGTCCACATGTCCGTTGTTGTAATATGATATGCTTATGCTGGTATATACCGTATGGTCTCACAAGTAGTAATTTTATTTGATATAGATATGATTTGTAGTAAGGGGCCTTCTTGGTGTTCTGATTCGTTGTCACACCCATTTTATTTTGTTGGAAATGCTTTGGTAATTGACATGTACATGGTGCACGTTAATGAAGATATGAAGGTTTAGACCAAATTATGCAATTTTTGCCCCATTTTCAAAACCTTGTTTCTTGCCATAACAGGAATGTGTTCTTTCCCATCCCTCCATTGTATGGTTTGTCTACTTACATATTTACTTACCCAATAATTCCTATTGTACCATTAGTACTCATTGTCATCACAACAACTAATAACTACCTTATTATTTATATTAGTCCTAAAATGAAAACCAAATTATTTTAATCCTTCAATAAGCAATCCCATTATTATTGTTGCTTCACCATTCAAGGTCACGACAGCAACTTCATTTTTCATCTTTTTTCTCTTTTAAAATTAAGGATACACTATTTTCTTTTTTACTTTATTTCCTCTTAAATAAAGATGTATCATCACTCTTTCCTTCTTTTGGTTGGTTGAGGTGCATATTAGAATTGGGGTACACATGTTGCTTGTGCTATGAATCTTGGAGGTTGGACGAGTAGCCACTTAGGGCCTTCACATATTTTTTTCTTTATCTAGAGCACTGAAATTGTATTTAGATGGACACCTTAGAGTGGCTAACTTGGAGCTGACTCCTTGGCTAAAAAGAGGGGCAGTGATTCATTAACAATTTACTGATCTTCTACCCCATAGGAGTTGCTATTGTGAGGTTTGGTTCCTTTGCATTCTAGTCTCTTCTTAAGTTCCCTTTATTTCTTTTCATCTCAATGATCTGATTGAAGGATGACCTATTTTTCTTGTTCCAGTTATTTTGTTTTGAAAAATTTCTTCATTTTATTTAAAAAAATATTATTATAACTTTTAATTGCCTGAAAAGGTTTCACGTGGCTTGATTCACCATGGTCATGATATGTCAAGAGTAATAGATGAATGGTTTGTGACCCATAGCTATGGTTTGATTATAGACTTATAGTTGCTTGATTAAAGCAAGTTGTGTGAATTGTGAAATAGCTTAGAACTGATTATTACTTGGAAAGCGATATGGTTGATACGAAGTATGAATGACGTTAACTTCTTGGCCATCTGGAGAGTACTAATGAAAATGGATAGCCTCAGCTGGCCATCTCACTGTTTACACTGCAGAAATTTCTGCTTGCAATTTGGATTTATATTTACTGTGTGAAGTTTGAATACATTTTTACCTTAACATATTATAGCATTTTCATCTTTTTCTATGATTGAATTTGAACCTTAGTATATTGGGGGACAAACTTAAGCTGGCTTCAAAATTTGTCCCCTATATTAGTCTGTACACCGAATGATACCTTGGATTTTGGGATTTTGCTGTGAATGATAGTTTTTCTTTTTGTTGCAATTGATATCTTTCAGGTTGTGGGGGGCTCAAACCCAAAGATCATTGCAGAACTTTGATATTGGAGGCGAGCGTGAACAAATGCCAGAACCAATTATTCGTTCATTTGGCATTCTTAAAAAATGTGCTGCCAAGGTTGTTTTTAGTTTTACATAGTAACAACATCTCTGTTTGTTTTGCATATTTGCATCTTATTAAAGTTACATTCACAAGTGACTGTAGTTTATGGTTGGTTGTGCATGTTGCAAGAAGTTGTAGTTGTAATTTTAAACATAATATATTATACGTATGGTTTGACCACCAACGGGTAGTGGCCTAGCAGTATAAGCCTCTTACTTCCCAAAGGGAGGTCAGGGGTTCAAGTCTCACAAGAGACAAGTGTGTGTGAGTACCAACTAGGAAAAAAAAACATATGGTTTGACCTCTTGTATTAATTAAATATTTGATAGTATATTAACAGGTTAATAATATGTTATTCAATGTTGTTTACTGATTTAATTTTTTGGCTGATATGACATGTACTTATGGTATTCTATTTTAGGTGAACATGGAATATGGTCTTGATCCAACCATAGGGAAAGCAATAATGCAAGCAGCCCAAGAAGTGGCTGATGGAAAATTAAATGATCATTTTCCTCTAGTGATATGGCAAACTGGTAGTGGCACTCAGAGTAACATGAATGCTAATGAGGTAACAATAAGTTTAACTTTTAGGTCCACTGATTTGATGTTGTTTGGGCTTGTATGCAGCTGGGACCTTGGTGTTTCTCATTCCAAATTTAGTGTCATGATATGTTCTGTGGGTTCTCTGGTTTGGTTTAATCAAGAAAAGTGTGAGATGTGATGAGGTTTGGAGTGATTTACCTAAGACGCTTATCCAATGGAGTACCTGAACTGAGATCGTTGGATGTTGTGACAATAGCTTCATTCCCTTTACAAACTTCGTAATGAATTTTCTGAATGGTTAATTGCATGGGCCAATCAGAAATACACAAAGCTGCTGAAAAATTATATACTTTTAGCGGCACCATAGCTGTATTTTAAAATGGGATGGCCTTTATTGTAGAGTTGATTTTAAGCTATTTTCTGGTCTCTTTATCACTGTTGTATTTAGTGGAAAATTCAATAGATTGGATTATGATTATTATCGACTTTGCTTTAATTTTGGCTGGTTTTTATAGTATATGGGCTCTATGTGACATTTGGTCCTTCCTCCCTTGTTATGTGCAGTCTATGTTGGGAACTTGTCTGTTTCCAGGTTCCACCCTTCTCTGATTGCTATTATTTCTGTGATTCTGTTAGTTGTTTGCCTTGTCCTAGCCGGATTGCGCTGGTATATCTTATTGATGCTTATTGATTTGGTTTGTGGTAGCATTGGTCATGGCTAGGTGTACGAAGAATTGAACTTATTGGATATGTGTCAGGGATGAGCTGTGCTCCAAGTTACTTCTTTTAGGCTTTCCATGTTCCGTGTAAATGTATTGGTATTGGTATGGGGACACTTACCCAAAAAAAGGGGACTTACGGATACAACCTGTAGCATCATGATTGGTCATGAATATAACATATTTCTATTTGGATTAATTTTTTATTTCTGGACTGTTTCAGGTTATTGCGAATAGAGCAGCTGAAATTCTTGGCCATAATCGAGGTGAAAAGTTTGTGCATCCAAATGACCACGTGAACAGATCACAATCTTCTAACGACACATTCCCAACTGTAAGTGTCTTGAAGATGGATACACTTAAAGCATTTTGTAAACTGCTTAATAGATGCTAAATGCAGAATACTTTATTTCTTGCTGGGTTGTAATCAGTTGTGGTTTGCATCTTGTACAGGTAATGCACATTGCAGCTGCAACGGAAATAAATTCAAGATTAATACCGAAGTTGAAACAGTTACAAACTTCACTACATTCAAAGGTTGAAGTACTTTCTGTCAGACTAAAGAGCTAATTAATATACAATGTGAAATTGCATTTTTATTGCTATATATCACATAACATTTGCTGACTTTATCATTATGAATATATTAACTTGTTGCGTATTTGATGCATCAGATTTAATGGCAAAACATGCTTTGCACCATTTTGTATTAGAAAATGTATAAATTTTAAGGCTTCAATGTCTTATGAATTTTCTTATGTTGTAAGTCCTTGTCTTCTATTGCCGTATTTATATGTACTCGTGGACCTTGCGTGCTCCTTTGGTATATTGTATTATACATGCTAGACTGTAGGCAGGGCACAAGAGAGGATGCGATGTGGGAAGGGATTGCAGATTTTATTGGCTAATGGTTAGTTCAGCTTGTTAGAAAATGCCCACTGAAATGGTATCTCTTGAGTTCTACGATTAATCATAAATCCACTAATAAGGTTTTTTTTACCAGCTTTCTTGGCGCTCAAGAATGTTTTTATTCAATTGACATGTAAATCATTATATATTCATTTACAAAGGCAACTTAATGCTTACTTGAACTTGCAATTTTGTTTTGGATAGTCTGTTTTTACTCTTTCCCTTCTTGTGTAGGTGGACATACTTAATGGTAATGCCTAATACTTAGTAATTAGACACTCGACTCCTCTTGGGTGCAAACAATTCCATTTTTTTTTTTTTTTTTTTGGGGGGGGTGGTGGGGGAGAGGAATTACACACAAGTATAATAATCATCTGACAACGTCTAGATGCCATCATATATGCAATGATTGCTTTCCTTACTGGTCTCCTAGAAATAGTGAGAAAGTTATACTCCACAACTTTCATTCCGAAAAATCTTAGCCTTATTGTTCAAATAATGTGCAAGTTTGTCCTCTATCAGCCTCTACAATCATGGAGAGGTTTGACTGAGAACAGGCCTATTTTGTTCGGACTCATCCCAGAATGCTAATTGTGAAAGGTATCATGGGATTGCTTGTACTTTGTCAGGCTTATGATTGTTACTAGTTAGTGGGTTACATTCATTTTAAATGATTATCTGAAAGTTTGGGTCTGATCGTTCTTAATCAGTTTTGTGTAGCACTGGGAAGAGAGTTTCTTTTTACTCTGGTATTATCAATACCCTTAGATGCTCTATTTTGGAAATTGATAGGTGGTATGGATTGGATCGTCAAGGTCGGTGTTCTACGACTTGGTATGTGGGATGTATTGTCTAAAATAATGTAAATTGAGCAATAACTAAGGTGGCATAGGCAGCTTTTCTCATGCACTTAATGAGTCATAGAAATGTAATGGTTGGATCATTTCTTTCCCCAAGGTGGTTTTGATTTTTATTTGTTTTCCTGAGATCCTGACCACATATTATATACATGTATGCACACTTTAATCAGTCACACCTCTGTTACTTTCAATTATTACTATGTTACAACTGACACAACAACAAAAGCAATTACTAATTTTGCTTTTATTTATTATGCCAGTCAGTTGAATTCAAAGATATTATTAAAATTGGACGTACCCACACTCAAGATGCAACACCTTTGACTCTTGGGCAAGAGTTCAGTGGCTACACCACACAAGTAAGTTAGCTTTGCTATAACAGTTTTGCACTCTCAATTGTTACTATCAAATGGATTAGTTTTTGTTCACATGTTATTGCAAGCATTACTTATGCTGGGAGGGACTCGTGAAAATATCCTCTTTCTTGCAGGTGAAGTATGGAATTGACCGTGTTATGTGCACCCTTCCACGAATTTATCAGGTTGAAAGCTGTGATTTGTTAAGTTCTAGATGTTCTGTGCTCTCTGTTTTTTTGTTTTTTGTTTTTTTGTTTTTTGTTTTTTTTTTTTTTTTTTTTTTTTTTTTATGGTTCTCACAGCTTGGACATGTCATTTGAGCAGCTTGCTCAAGGTGGTACTGCTGTAGGGACTGGATTGAACACAAAGAAAGGGTATGTGTTGCAAAACTTTAAGGTTGAAGCACTTTTGCTTGTGTTTTCAGCCCCCTTTTGATGCTTATGATTATCCTATCCTTATGCAAGATTCTTTCTCTGTTTTCAAATTTTCATTCTTTTGGCTTAATTTCCTCTGAAATTGTGAGATTTCTACAACCCCTGTTCTCTCAGAAGCAACTTGATCAACATGTAATTTCCTTGTACATTGGTGAATCAAAGATATAGTTATGCATTTTCTTTTTTCTAATATTATGCCATATAAAAGTTATTTGACACGTTGATTTGATGTTAAGATAGCCTCCTTGGAGTCATATGCAATTTGTCATTCCTTTTAGTCCCATTGAGTACTTGGGAAAGAATTCTTTTTGCATATTAAGGATGCAGAAGGTGATGTATCCTAGCAGAGAACACATTGAGTAAAAGGGGAAAACGAGATTTTCTGCAAGAATACATTGCCAAACACCAATGCAATTCAAATTAACATTGGTTTAAAATAATGAGCTTCTTTTTCTTTCTTTTTTGGTTAACCCTTATTAATAAAATTCCTCCCAATTAAAATCCAAGGCCAATCCGTGGATGAAGTACTGAACAGGTTCTAAAAGTATTTGAGTTCTGTAATTGAAGTTGAGAATATTCTTTGATAGGTTTCAATGGTTGAAGGATGTTTTTGATGAAAATAAACTATGATTTGGACACTATAATGAAGAGGGCAGCTTGCATTTTGTTTGCTGTTGTAAATTCAGAATAGAACTCGGGAAAACCGACAAAAAAACAAAGAAGAGAATAAAAGAAGTATAAGAATCTGTTGTTGTGAACAAAATGTCGATAGCCGCAAACTTGACTTGTTTAATTTGGTAATGAAAAAGATGCTATACTAGTGATTTAAATTCAAATGTCATGTCTATGTTAGATTGATAAGCGAGTAGCACTCCAACTGGTGTGTTACGATACACTAAATTATTGTCTACATGTATTAAATACAGCAGTCTGTTTGCATGGTGGTGTACGTGTACCATGTAGGAAGCATCACCATGCCAACGAACAAGAAAGGATGCCACTAAATGTAAAGTTTATTGCTTCTTTACCTCTCTATGTGTACACACACACACACACACCGCTGATTTGGAAGGTCAGATTTATTTTCCAATTTTTTTTTTTAATGCTCATGATTTTGATAATTAACATAGCAATGGGCGTCTAAGAGGATGTTTCTGAATGTAATTACAATCCTAAGTTTATTTTATTTAATTTCAATTATTGCTGTTACCTTCAGTCTATATGCATAGACTTTTGTTATAGCTGCACTAAATTTTTTAAAACTACAACAATTCCTGGAAAAGGAACCCAGATTATCTCACAATAATATGTGGAGTGTTGGATTAGGAGGAAAAAATGCTTCTTCACCTGGTTACTCAGCATTGAAATCTAACCAATAATTTGCAAGTGGCACTTTATAATTTCATCTACGTATCTTTTTTTGTTTATTTAACTTTTATTTTTAGATGCTGATGATCAATTTTTGTGTCTATTAGGTTTGATGTAAAGATTGCTGCAGCAGTATCTGAGGAAACAAACCTACCATTTGTCACAGCAGAAAACAAGTTTGAAGCACTGGTTAATATCTAGTTCCTTTGAAGTTTGCTTCTGTTTTGTTATTGGATGGCTAGAAGGAAAATAATGTCGATATGTTGTTTTATACCATTTACATCAAAATAGTTTTACATGTTGTTTGTATATTTTTTATTGTAGCCGAGCCCAAGTAGTTGGGAAAAAGGCTTGTTGTTTTTATGTTCACATATATATATATATATTTTATAATACCAGGCTGCCCATGATGCTTTTGTGGAATCTAGTGGAGCCTTAAACACAATTGCTGCTTCTCTGATGAAGATTGCGAATGACATACGCTTGTTAGGAAGGTACATATGCTTGTTAGATAACCCTTACTGTCTTCTGTTACTTTCCTTTTGGGGTTTTCACATCCTTTTTTCTCATTCAGTGGTCCACGTTGCGGCCTCGGTGAGCTCATTCTTCCTGAAAATGAACCTGGCAGCAGTATAATGCCTGTAAAATCCCTAATCTCTACCTTAGTTTTATGTCTGTCAATACTTATCTAAAAAAGGTTTTATGTCTGTCAAGATTTCTTTTGCCTTTTGAAGCTAAACTTGGCAACTTCTTTCCCTTTTAATCTTATTCTGTGTGAACTAATGCTATTTCAGGGAAAAGTGAACCCTACCCAGTGTGAGGCTCTTACAATGGTCTGTGCACAGGTAAGATATAGCGTCATTCTGATTCATATGGATGACAAGATCAATTAGTGTGCTCACGCAATGTGTTCGCGTTCATGGAATTGTAATAATGTTTCTCCCGATTTATCTTGATTTATTTGAGTGATAGAAGATATTGTCATATAATATTATGTCAAAATTACTAAATTTTAGTTGGCATTACCGTCAAGTCTCTAAGCTCGTTCAATCAATCAACATTTTTCTTGCTTGCAGGTTATGGGAAACCACGTGGCCATCACAATAGGTGGATCAAACGGCCATTTTGAGCTGAATGTATACAAGCCAATGATTGCTAGTGGTCTCCTACGCGTATGTTCTTTTGTCATTTCATTATTATAATTTTTATTCAAAGTCATGGCAGAGAGCATGCAATATCAGTTCTTGCATGATTTGAGGAGGGCATCAAATTGACAAGGTGGTGTGTCTATTGATTTGTCATAGCAGTTCAGGCAAATCTGAATTTGCTTGAGAGGATTTCGGGCCAACATCAGACAGTGATGTTTGGGAGTAACATTAGAGAGCTTCTTGTTTACTGTATCTTGAAATGTTCTATTATATTCAACTGAATATTTTGAAAGAACAGGGTAAATAGTAGGGAAATGTTTTGGTTCTTTCACACTTTAGCAATTTGGATTATTTCATATTTGGGCTGGGTAAATGTTTTCTTTGAAATCTGCAGTTCCAGAACCATATGAAAAGTATGGTTTCCTCTGACCTAGTAACTTCAGGATGAAAATAAATAAAATTTGATATTATATTGCAGAGCTGCCTAGGATAGACATTATTATACTGATATATTTTATCATAATGGTGCTTGAAAGAAATTATTTGTTTATGTTCCCCCTTTACCTAGTATATTATTCTTTTACTCATCTCGGGTTTTTGGTGCATTGCTGGTAGTCACTGAGATTGCTTGCGGATGCATCAGCTTCTTTTGAAAAGAACTGTGTTAGGGGAATTGAAGCCAATAGGGAAAGGATTTCAAAATTACTTCACGAGGTAAGCTGGTGTCGGGTTACATAAGGTGTAAAATTGTGAAACATATTATTTGTTAAAACCCAAATCTGACTGATCTATATTGTTGCAATGTTTTTATCTTCACCGCCTTACAGTCACTTATGCTTGTCACATCTTTAAACCCTGTAAGTTTCAACTCATGTTCAGTTCTACATTCTCTGCAATTCCCCCTTCCCCCCCGCCACCGCCCCCCCTTTCCTCTGCTGGGTTCATCTGTTCAGAATAATAACTATTGCTGTTGCTTCATTATAGAAAATTGGTTATGACAATGCTGCTGCGGTTGCCAAGAAAGCCCACAAGGAGGGAAGTACATTGAAGGTGATGGTTTGTCTCATTATTATGCAGTGTTAAGATGTCTTCTATTAACATAGATAATTTTTATTCATAATAGCCTTAAGGAGCTTCAATTTTTATCTAATTTGAATTGGATAACCTAATAGGCCAGTCAAGGTCATCTGGTTTCCGTTAGTGGAAGCTGTGGTACTGAGCACAGGCATAACCTTTTAGCACTATTTGCAGAAAATGACTGTTCTCAGAATTGAACCAGCATACTTAATTGCTGATCTTTTACCACTAAATGAAGCAGTGGTCCCTTGAATTTGATAATTTAGTTTGCTAGAATCAAAGGGCAACATCTGTTCAAATCTGACGAAGTAAATCTTTGCAGGAATCTGCTTTAAAACTTGGAGTACTCACCAGTGAAGAATTTGATAAACTTGTAGTGCCGGAGAAAATGATTGGTCCTTCTGACTGAGAAACTAAGATAATTTAAAAATAGAAGAAATTGTCTGCAGACTTTAGCATGAATGCAGTGCTATACCCGTTGTGCAATGTTCTCTTCTCAGTCTGTATGTGGAATAAAGATCCAGTGGCGATTTCATTTTTATAAGAAAACAATATTCTTGAGGTTTTCCTTAATTGTTCGGCTTTTGTCTTTTCGAACATTCAGGCCATATGGCAGTTGGTAACTGTAATAAGGGGAAAGCCTCCCACATTTTTGTAACAGTGGATTAGAGGAATATACACATCAGAATGAAATAAAATATTCTTAGGCAGGGAATTAATTTTCCCTATGATTTTCTTCTTATAATAGTGGCTGGAGAATTTGCTTTTAAGAAGATGCCTTTACCATTTGTAATCATTTCAAAAACATGGGCAACCTCTCTAATTAATTTCCTTCATTTTTTCTTGTAAGCAATTCTCATCTACCTAGCACTAAACAGAACAGGCTGTTAACTAAAAAAGTGAGATCTTATTGTAACAGACCGCAGCAGGGGTTTCAATGCATGAAATTAAGAGCTTTCAAGTCTTGAAGAAACTCGGGAGCTTGTGGGTAAGAGAGTAAAACGTAACCAAAATGGAGAGCAGCTGACCCATTGTGCGTGCTTGGCTGGAGTCATATTCTAAGAAAGCGTGTTCTTAATCAATTTCAATTCCTCAGTGGCATGAAGAATATTCATTAGCTCCCTAGGTGCCTCGGTAGAACATGCTACTCCAATCTGAATATTAGAATCAAGCACTCATGGATGCATCCGGACATGGTCGCTTCCTCTTCTTCCACACCCAACTGAATCTGATCCACAATCTTCGCTTCCTCTTCTTCTATGCCCAACCGAATCTGATCCACAATATCCATCACTTGTTCTGGCAAATTTGTGAAGGTTGAAACCATCTATAAGCAGCTATCAGTTGGTCTTTTGCCAGTGAACATTTCCAGCAAAAGGATTCCATAGCTATAAACATCCCCATGGGCTGGCACCTTGCTCCCCATGCCATATTCTGCAAAATTCAGGCATTTCATATTACAAGGTCACAATGTTTTCTAAAATTCAAGTTATATTAATTTATGTGAAATTATAAAAAGCACACAAACACACAAAAATAAGTTTGATTACCTGGGGTTGCGTATCCAATAGTTCCCATGATACCCATGGAGCTGGTTTGATTTTGAGAAGATCCATTGTTGTGTTGCTGTATGAACCTTAACGAACCAAAATCACCCAGGCAGGCAGTCATGTCACTATCAAGATGAATGTTGCTTGGCTTTAGATCACAATGAACAATTGGCAAGATAATCCAAAGCAGAAGCCACATCAATAGCCACGTTTAATCGCTGAAGAAAGTTCAACCTCTTAGGTTCCTGATCAGGTACCGGATGCAACCAAGTCTCAAGACTCCCATTTGGCATGAATTCATATACCAGGGCTTTGAAATCATTGCCGTGAATGTCAATACTTGAGCATGCAGTTAAGATGTTGAGAAGATTTTGATGCCTCATGTTCCTCAATACTTGGCATTCAGCCTAGAAACTCCCGGATGCTCCTCCCAGTAATGGCTATTTTACTTGGATCAAGAATTCCTTTGTACACTAAACCAAAGCTTCCCGTACCAATCAAATTCTCTGACCTGAACCCATCCGTTGCTTTGAGGAGCTGTCCATAAGAAATAGTAAGATACGGTTGCATCAAATCAAATACCGAAGAAGGATGGCATTGTTTTCTCTTCTTGACAAGCCAACCAAGGAGTAGAAAAACTATCCCAATGACTCCACAAGCTGTGGGGATTATTAGCTTGAGAACAAGAAGAGATGTTTTCTCCTTTCCTGGTTTATCAGTAGAGCAACTGTAGTGCAGGTATACCTCCACAAAGCCTTTTGTTTCCATAAATTGAAATTGCACTTGCATTCTCAAAAACTCCTCTTTTAGGTACCTCACCCTTAAGATCATTGAAAGAGAGATTTAAATTCCGCAACAAGCGAATGCTCCCTAGATCTTTTGGAATTTCACCAGAGAGGTTATTGTGTGAACGGTCCAATGCTTCAACGCCTTTCAGATAACTCAAAGACCCTGGAATGGCTCCTTCAAAGGAATTATAGTCCAAAAGAAGGTGTTCTAAACTTGAGCAGCTACCAAGACTGCTAGGAATTTCACCTGATAACTCATTGTGGGAAACATTTAATTCAACAAGATTTTTCAAGTTACCCACCTCTAAAGGTAGGGGACCGCTGAGACGGTTTTGAGCAAGGCTCATTGTGGGAAACATTTAATTCAACAAGATTTTTCAAGTTACCCACCTCTAAAGGTAGGGGACCGCTGAGACGGTTTTGAGCAAGGCTCAGGGATCTTGTTAAAGATGACCAATAACTTCTGGGGTTATGGAACCACTCAGGCTGTTATCATAGATGCAACAGAGATAAACACTTGCAATTTCCGAGAGCTGAAGATGTATGCTTCCTTGAAGATTATTTCCCTCTAACAAGAACTGGTTCAACAGAGTTAGATTTCCAATGGAAGAAGGGATTTCCCCTGACAGTTTATTTTTACCAAAACCTCATTGTTGTAGCTTATGAAGTAGTCCCAATAGAGTTTGGAATACTTCCTTCCAATTGATTGTAATGCATATCTATAGCCCTCAAGTTCTGGAGATCTCCAATCCCTGTTGGAATGTTTCCAGATATTTCATTTCTTCCCACTACAAAATATTCGAGTTTGTTTGACAGGTTGGCGATGGAACTAGGTATGTAACGACCCGGTCATTTGCCTTCCTTTCCTTTTTTCTGAAATTTTACGAAAGAATTTTTTTCGTTTAATTTTCTTTTCTGAGCTTTGTTTCGTGTCCCTTAGTGTCATCTCGAGTACTCAGAATTGGTTTCTGAGACTCTTTCATGTGAATTGACAACTTTCTTTGAGGACCGAGTCATTTTCGCATTTTTCGTTTTTCGGACACTATGCGCTATTTCGTTTTTTCCCTATTATGTCATTTTCCCTATTTCGTCTTATCTCCGTTTGTTAGTTTTTGGCACAACCTCACTTCTCATGCTCGGAGTTGGTTTTTGACTTCACGTGCCTTCATCTTGAGTGGTTTTCTCGAAATACGTATCTTTACTTTTGCAAAAAAGTACTCTGGTTGCTCCCGGTGTCCTTAGGGGCATAGATGCACAATTCTTCAGAATCTTTTTCATTTCTTGGGGTATTTTTCGTAAATATCTTTTGAAGATATTTTATTTCAGGGGTATCTAAGAAAATATATTTTGGAAGATATTTTCATTATGGGGTAATTTCGCAGTTAACCCTTTTTGTAGGGGCTATTGTGCAATTAACGAAAGTTATTGCAAAAATGTCTCGTCTGGAGCTTGGATCTTCGTACGGGATTCATTTTCACTTCTCGTTGAGTTGTAAATTCATAAAATTTCCTTCTGATCATTTTTCTCCAGTTTCAGAGTTTCTAGACCCAGTTGCTGCCGAACTTGTTCGGGGCATAACTTTCTGCTCGGGACTCAGTTTTCAACGCCGTTTCTTCCGTTGTTCATATTTTCTCATTTTAAATCTTTTTTGTTCACAGAGTTTTACTATTTGAGTGCGTTTGCTCAAAATCTACTTTTCCGGACCCAGCGGGGCCCTTTCGGGGCACTTTTTGAGACTTACTATAAATATGGGACTTAAGAACAAAAAAATCAGATTTCTTCTTCTTCTTCTTCCTCTCCCATGGCCGGCCAAGCTCCCTACCATGGCTGCCACTTTCTCTCTCCTCCTTTGATCCACTTTTCTTTGATGAAAAGTCTTCGGCCTTAACATTTGTTGTTCGCCTCGTCGTGCTCTACCATTACCCCTTATTAGAAACCATTTCTAACCAAATTTTGAGTTCGGGATTGAGGTTAAGTTTGGATTTTCATGGGGCTTCTTGGGGATTCATATAGATCGTGTTGTCCCTGACAAAACCTAGGAGTTTCGTTGGATTCGGAGCCGTTTCAATTCGGTGGGGATTTGGGATTTTCATCTCAAATTGAGGTAGGAGGTGTTATAGGTTTAATTCTTGTTATATAACATGCTATTGATGCTTATACAACTTGATTGCATGCTTAAATATGAAATCTAGAGATTTTATTATTTAATTTTCTTGTATTGGATTTGATTTTCCCGATTACTTATGATTTGTTTTAAACATGTAGCATGGTAATATAATACTCTATAATATGGTCATTGACATATATTAAATTGAGGAAAATTGAACAAGTAATAAAGATTTTATTTAATATTTATCTTGAATAAAATATTAAATCATGTGGCCTTAACTAGCTCAAAATCAATATGTGTTAGTATATTAAATTAGGTCTTAGCATGCTCTTCAACATAGTTGAATTTGAAAGTAATTGGAGGTGTTTTGAAAATTAGTAATTATTAATTAATTTAATTAATTAATTTGCCCCGAGTGCACTATTTACTCTATTTAAATTCCGACTTGATATTCTTGATTTACATGCCATATAGTTTCACATATATTTGATTTAGAATATTCGGTTAGGTTTTGAAACTTTTTATTTAATTAAATTACATGTTTAAGATTTAATCCTCATGGTGATATACAACTTGGAATTATATTGTGGCATGCTAGAAAATTAAGCTTAGGTATAGTTGTTCACATATATTAAATTGGGATTAATTGTATGAGAATTGCAACTTTTAATTTATATTTAACTTTAGTGAAAGTTTAATTCACATGGTCTTAAATTGAATGAAATAAACTTGTAATGTGATATTACATTAGTTCTTGGCATGTTTTCCAACATAGGTTAATTTGAGAGCATTTGGTTAAGTTTGAAAATCAAGAGATTTTAATAAAAAGAATTAATTAAAATCTATTTTGTGGTCCCATTAGCTTAATTAAGGTTTTAACTTGATATTTGTATTAGCCATGACTTGTTTACTAGTATATATTAATTTGGAACTATTTGAAATTGTTTTAGAACCTTGAGATTTAAATTAGCATGATTTAATTAAAGTTCTACCTTGTTGTTGTATTTAAACTCATGAGTTTATGTTTTCAATATTGAATGTATTGTTATCTTGTGTAATGATTTGCACACTTCATATTTAACATCATTCATGCATAGCGTGTAACGAATCGCACACTGAAGATTCGACATTCATCATATCATATTAGTTGTGAATTTAGAGCATGTATTGTATAGGTTTCCAAATTTGGTTGTGCTTGGTAGATAGTTGATCATCTTGCATATTCCTGTTGATATATGCGTTGTTGCACAACTTGTTGATATAGGAAACTTGGGGATGTCGTTGTTTGACTATGGCTAGGACGTGGTTCTAATACAGGGGATAGTCCCTCTATGTAGTCTAGTGCGCACATAGGGAGGTTACCCATGGGCTAGTAACCCTAAAGTAACTATGTTGTCGGTCTGATCTGGCGTGACGTTCGAGTATCCACTTTGTTTGATTTCGCATTTCATTTTCAAGTTGATAACTAGATCATGTTGTAACTTGTTGTTCCTCATTTGTCGTTCCATTTTAATTTACATGATGTTAACTTTGCGAAATTGTGCTTTATGCGTTGTATTGGAAGTTCAAATGTTGGTTAAATTGCATCGATATTGAAAATTGTGTTTTGCCGTTCTAACAAAGCTTAGGATTGATCCTATTGATTCATTTATAACTTAGACGTTAGGTGGCATGACCCACTTCTGTTGTTTTCGGGCTTTAGATTTCAAGCTGATAACTTTAAGAAATTGTATTTTGTTGCCTTGTATAATATGCTTTTATGTGGTTAGATTGCATTGAAGTTGTAATTTGCGTTTTGATTGTTCAGCATGGCCTAGGATGATTCCTTAGACTTATTTAGAACATAGACGTTAGGTGACATGATCACTTTAGTTGTTTCTGTATTTGAGATTACAAGTTAATACCTTTAAGAACCTATATCTTGTTACTTTGTATAACTAGCTTCCATATTGTTTAAATGGCATAGATAATGTGATTTATGCTAGAAACACTCTAAGGTAGCTTAGGATGCTCCCTGAGTCTCATTTCGATATAGACGTTAGGTGGCATGAACCCCTTTAACATGTTTCACCTTAAGGTGATAAATTTGTAAAATGTTAGGTCGATGCATGCTCGTCTCCTACGAGTAGCTTTACGTTACTCACCCCTACGATACTGGGGCATAATTCAGGTACGAAGACTTGGTTCGTGACGCCTAGCATTCCTTGGATGTCGCGTAGCTTTCAAGTTTCCATTTCATGCGAATGTTAATATGAAATGTAATTTTGTAGACTTATATGTCAAAATATGTATATTTGATTCCATGTATGTAATGTGTACTTAAGTACACTCCTTTCAATGTATTTGATATGTATGAGATGAGGCCGGAGGCCAATGACCATTATATTGCATTCTATGTACTTTTTAACTTCATGAAATATTGTGAAAATCTTAAAAAATCGCAAGTCATTGCTTCACCATGGTTGCATCGGGTGTGAGAATTCCATTCTCATTCTTTCATAGGGTCTCATTAATCTTGTATGAAGTGTGGCCAAGGGCCAAACGGTCAATTGACTCCATTTTGTATTTTTGGATTCCATGTTTTCCATTCCAAGTCCATTTTTGCCTTTTTGCCCGTTGGGGGGTCGGATTTTGCATCGGCTATGTTTTTAAGCTATGGACCATTGTAACGCGTCTAAATAGGTAAGTTACGTTTGCGTGGATAGTCGTTTTCGGGCAAAACCTCATCGTTTGTGTTTTGAGCCTCCAACGGACTCATTTTGCGTTTTTGTTGCATATTCTGATCGAGGGGTATTCTAGACTTTTCAATTCAGTTTTATTTCCTTCTTTCAACATGGTTGAATAGAAACATGATTTTAGGGAAGGTTTCTTTTTCGTGTTTTTCCAGAAAATGTCGTCTTGGTATCGGAAATTGCTTACGAAGTTCAGCTATCAGATTTTCAATTTAGCAGCTTTTTGGACCTCCATGACCGGATTTCATGGAGGGGCATTTTGGGCATTTCAAAGTGCATATTTTTCATTTTTTCTTGAGAGTCACGTAGAAAACTTAATTTTGAGGGGGGTTTCTTCTTTGTGTTTTTCCAGAAAATGTCATCTAGGGCCTCAAAATCCCATTTTTTCCGGAAAAACCCCCACTGCCAGGATTTCTTGCTGCCCATTCTGCCCCCTTCACATCTAAACGGTTAGATGGGGTTTCATAACCGGTTACACGTGTATGGGCAGTGTCTTGGTCAAGTTTTGGTCTCCTAACCGGTTAGGAAGGCTTGGTAACCGGTTAGATGACCTAGGATTTGCACTTTTTGACCGTTTTGCCCCTTCATCTTTCGTTAGCCATATCTCCTTCATCCGGACTCCGAATCAAGTGATTCTTGAGTCTAAATTCATTAATTTTTTGTTGTCTTTCCAATGGTGTGCTCAGTGGCACCCACTTTTAAGCTGAAAATGACTTTTTTGCCCCTAGGTCCATTCTTGTTCGTTTTTGAAACGTTTCTTCCGCATTTGTTTCCTTTGGGTTCTGTGACCTCATTGAGTGTCACATTGGTGTCTTAGAGACACGTTGTATCTCTAGAGACCGTTGTTTCATCTTTTGCTTCCGCATTCTTGATCCAGTTCGGTTCATCACAGGACACACTAGGTTGAAAAATCCAGGGTCGTCACAAGGCAACCCCCTTACAAAATAGAGATGTCAAGCAATTCAAGTTTTGAAGTAGTGAAGCCGGAATGAATCCATTAAATTTGTTTCCCCAAATATTAAGCCATCGAAGATTAGGAAGAGTGAGTCCTAAATTCTGAGGAAAAAATCCTTCAAGTTGATTGTCTACTGCACTAAACACAGTATTATTTTGAAAGATTATAGATAGATGGAGGGATCTTACCAGATAGTTCATTCCCTCTTAGCACAACATGTGTTAAGCTTGTCAGTTGGCCTAGTGAACTTGGGATACTTCCTTCCAGAATATTGTTTCCCATGCGAAGAGCTGAAAGGTTCCCAAAAGAAGGTGGGATTGCTCCTGTCAAATTGTTGAACAAGATATGTAGCCTCACCAGCTTGGACAAGGATCCAACCTCCACAGGAATTTTCCCTATGAGTTTGTTGTATCCTATATCAACTACTCTCAGGTTAGAACAGTGAGAGAGGCTGGCTGGAATTTGTTGCTCCAACAAGTTGTTGGACAATAATAAACCAATTTCATGAGGGATTCCTCCATAGAGGTTGTTGTTTGATAGATATATAGGTCTGAGGAAACTAAGGTTTCCAATGAAAGGTGATATAGAACCAACCAAATTGCAGGACTGCGAGTTCAAGACGGTGACTCTTTGATGGCAGTGGCCACATGAAACACCATGCCATTGGCAGAAATAGAGAGAGTCATTCAATGAGCTAGTAGTGACCTGCAGCATAGGATCATCAGTCATCTTAGCCTTGATGGTAAGCAATGCTAGCCGATCTGTCTCATTTCCTCTAAACATGGTGGTGGTGGTGGTGGGAGAAGCATTATGTAACAAAGGCATGAGTATGCACAAGATAAAAACAACAGCACAGGGAACAAATGATTGGTATATCCCAATGCTCATGGTCGAATTAATCGTCGAGTATAATTTGTATAAATATTAGCTCACTGTATTACAACAGAGAAGGTTATTGAACTTTACAAATTTGTAGCCATATTTAGACAACTGTTTTCAATTCATAAGCAGTATTGGTGGTACTTCTTGTTAATTATTTGGGTTACCTTTTGTGGACTTTTGGCTTGGAGTGTTTCAATAATAATCACCATGAGGAGCAGTTTTTCTTCGAGTTCTTAAATTGCTTAGTGACCAAATGACCATAAATATCTCCATCTTTGGATGAATTTGTTATGAATATTAATATTTTATGCACTAATTCATACTACACTAGAAATTACACTTAAAAAAAAAGAAAAAAAGTAAGTTTTTCCAAAATAAATCAAGGGAAACATTTTAGTTTTGTAAGCTCTGTTATATGGACTCTTCAAAAGTAGTGAAGTACTCGTATCGGATACATATCCCTTGGACATGAGTATGGGATATGTGTCCGACACTTTTGATTGGACATTGTAACGACCCTCACCCTGGCCAGACACAATATTGTCCGCTTTTGGCTCACCCAGACCAGAGACTTCCCAGGGGGTCACCCATCCTGGTACTACTCCAAGTTAAGCACGCTTAACTACAGAGTTCTGATGGGTTCACGGCCATCACGGCTTTAAAACGCGTTGTGTCATAGAAGGGTGTTGAATCTGCATATAGCACTTGCCCCATCCACACCCAGACGATGTGAGATTGTGCACCTGTAGCTCGCCCAGTGTGGTAGCCTACTGGTGCCCCCTGCACACGCTCACACACACCCGCTCACAAGGTCGCCACAATCACCCCCCCTTTGGGGCCCAACGTCCTCGTTGGCCACACTTCCGGCTGGGTCAGGCTCTGATACCATTTGTAACGACCCTCTCCCTGGCCAGACACAATATTGTCCGCTTTTGGCTCACCCAGACCAGAGACTTCCCAGGGGGTCACCCATCCTGGTACTACTCCAAGTTAAGCACGCTTAACTACAGAGTTCTGATGGGTTCACGGCCATTACGGCTTTAAAACGCGTTGTGTCATAGAATGGTGTTGAATCTGCATATAGCACTTGCCCCATCCACACCCAGACGATGTGGGATTGTGCACCTGTAGCTCGCCCAGTGTGGTAGCCTACTGGTGCCACCTGCATACGCTCACACACACCCGCCCACAAGGTCGCCACAATCACCCCCCCTTTGGGGCCCAACGTCCTCGTTGGCCACACTTCTGGCTGGGTCAGGCTCTGATACCATTTGTAACGACCCTCTCCCTGGCCAGACACAATATTGTCCGCTTTTGGCTCACCCAGACCAGAGACTTCCCAGGGGGTCACCCATCCTGGTACTACTCCAAGTTAAGCACGCTTAACTACAGAGTTCTGATGGGTTCACGGCCATTACGGCTTTAAAACGCGTTGTGTCATAGAAGGGTGTTGAATCTACATATAGCACTTGCCCCATCCATACCCAGACGATGTGGGATTGTGCACCTGTAGCTCGCCCAGTGTGGTAGCCTACTGGTGCCCCCTGCACACGCTCACACACACCCGCCCACAAGGTCGCCACAATCACCCCCCATTTGGGGCCCAACGTCCTCGTTGGCCACACTTCCGACTGGGTCAGGCTCTGATACCATTTGTAACGACCCTCACCCTGGCCAGACACAATATTGTCCGCTTTTGGCTCACCCAGACCAGAGACTTCCCAGGGGGTCACCCATCCTGGTACTACTCCAAGTTAAGCACGCTTAACTACAGAGTTCTGATGGGTTCACGGCCATCACGGCTTTAAAACGCGTTGTGTCATAGAAGTGTGTTGAATCTGCATATAGCACTTGCCCCATCCACACCCAGACGATGTGGGATTGTGCACCTGTAGCTCGCCCAGTGTGGTAGCCTACTGGTGCCCCCTGCACACGCTCACACACACCCGCCCACAAGGTCGCCACAATCACCCCCCCTTTGGGGCCCAACGTCCTCGTTGGCCACACTTCCGGCTGGGTCAGGCTCTGATACCATTTGTAACGACCCTTATCCTGGCCAGACACAATATTATCCGCTTTTGGCTCACCCAGACCAGAGACTTCCCAGGGGGTCACCCATCCTGGTACTACTCCAAGTTAAGCACGCTTAACTACAGAGTTCTGATGGGTTCACGACCATCACGACTTTAAAACGCGTTGTGTCATAGAAGGGTGTTGAATCTACATATAGCACTTGCCCCATCCACACCCAGACGATGTGGGATTGTGCACCTGTAGCTCGCCCAGTGTGGTAGCCTACTGGTGCCCCCTGCACACGCTCACACACACCCGCCCACAAGGTCGCCACAGACATGTACTTAAAAAGTATATCCAATCATTCAATTATATTATATTATTACTTTAAAATGAGTTAAATGCCTATATTGAATATTATATTAGACAAAAATATTACTTTACTCTAGAAAATAAAATAAAATAATTAATAAAATGAATATTCAGTCGTATTCATGTGTCCTTCTGTTTGGAGATTTGACACATCCAACGCATGGATACATACCCGTGTACAACACTGGTACCCGAGTCCATGTAACATAGTTTGTAAGTATTTAGTTGCATGCATATATATAGGCAAAAATAATATAGTTGTTACAGTTCATAATGAGAGAATATAATGAAAATAAAACAAGACAATAATTAAAATGAAGTTGTAAAAAAGCTGGCAAAAACACTGGCCTGATGTAGAGCCATAGAGGCATGTGTTGAACACGTTATCCTAATGTTATAGCAGTCTCCTATGTTCAGCAGCTACAGACAGTGTTAGTCAACTCTAAAATACAACTCAAATCAACTTTCAATTCATTTTTAATTTTTACTCATCTTTGTAGTGCATGCACGCGTCAACTTGTATCAATGACCATTGATATGTATCAAGAGTGTAAACCTGGCTTAAACTAGAACAACAAAGCGGTTAAATCACACATAATAATTTTCTTTTGAAATAATATAAAGTATACTTAAATATTTATATGCTACCGTATACAATAAGTAATTTCAAATTAATTCTTCAAGTGGCACATTATTATAGAAATATGTATACATAAAATAACACATTAAAATAGCAAGTCTCTAATTTATGCCATATAACTGCATTCTCATAATAGATTTTACCTGAGTAATAATGAAATATATAATTGATAGTAACTGAATATACCCCACATTTCAAAGTCACAAAAATAAATAATAAATTTCACAAGATATATCACAGTAATCTTAATCATTCACAAAAATTGAATCATTTTCAGTAAAATCTAGAAAAGGATGACAATGCATGCTTTTGAATATTCTCTTGGTGATGATGGAAGTACATAACCCAAATTGGGTCTTAGAACAAAGCACATCACATAACCATTAATAAATTTAAAATTGTGACATTTTGTCTTGCATGCATTGATTACTGATCAAATTAACTAATGTTACATGACTAGCAAAGCACTCAATTGATGAACAATGACCACAAATTCCCACAAAACATTAGGATCTAATTTTGGTTTATTGAACAACTCAGAAATTACAATAAGCAATGCGCGCCCCATTGCCCAGTACCATCCAAATATTTGGGAAAAGATAAGAACTTAGGATGAGATGAGGAAACTGATCGCAAACCTGTAGCGACAGCAAGGGCATACAATTATTATTATTTTGTATGATTAAGAGAATTGGGAAAGAGATGAGTAAGGCATGCTAATTATTCCATCTCATCTCAATGGACTCGCATAAACATAACACATGCTGCTATCCATAATCTTTGTAATTAGTTACATACAAAACCTTAATTTGCAACTTCGAAATATCAACTAAAGTCAAAAGTGATTGTGATATTAAGAAGAAACAAAATAATTACTGCACACAAGAGATCCACAGCCACATTCTCAAAGCCCTAACAAACTTCCACACCTAAGGTCCTGCGCCAATGCAACACTTAGTAATTGTAAGAGTAAGACGCAATGCTTCATTGACTAAGTAGTTACTAGGAGTCCTTTCCCAAGTAAATAATGATGCACACAAGCATACATATAATTTATCTCCACAAGTCTTGACAAGATGGGATTTGTTACCTGAAGCAACATATCCAGTAGATCCCTTTACCCCAATTCAGCTGATCATTTCAATCTCTTTTCCCGGCAAATTTGAGCTCAGTTCTTTATGAGGAGAATCAAAATTTTATTTTGACCAGATCTTTTTATCACTTAATGAGCCACTCATCCCATAATATTACTTGATTTTCGCATCTATGATGCAGATTATGTAACGTAAATATTAGTATTTGAAGAAACACTGAATCCGGTAACAACAAAGGAAGGAAGGAAGGCATAACGTTTCTACCGAAACCAACAATTAAGGTGTGGAGGTGACCTGATGATGATGACGGAAGAAGGATCCCTTGAATATTCTTGCATTGCGTTCATGCCATATGGGGTATACTGATGCGGCTAGGGCAAGCTTGTTTTAAAAAGTCTTGGCTTTCTCCAAGCGACGACGACGACGACGATGATGAGATCATTCCAATTTGATGGTTTGTGTTGGATGTGGGATTGTGATTCAGCTGACCAGAGGCATAGGCTACACAAAATTAGGGTTTTGGATAAGCGCCAAGGATCCACGGTCGAGGGTAGCAAGCTGCTTGTACGTGGGATACAATCCAGAGAATGGAAAAGGAAAATGGAAGGCCAAATCAAGGAAGGAAAAAGGAGAAATGAAGAATAAGTAGAGGAAGGAACTGGAAAAATTCAACCTAAAATTGGTAGGGAGTCCTAAACTACTTTATATGCTTTACAAATCGTGGCCAGGATGATTAAAAGCTCTCAAGTCTGAAATAATCTACTCATCTTTGCATGCATGCCTTAATGTGTAATGCAATCACATCACACAGGAGGCTGAGTCTGATGCCTTGGGCTTAGTATCCTTGCGATATTGCACCACTTATATGCTTTGCAATGATGCATTATTCTAGCTGATTATATTTCTCACCATATATTACAAATATACTGTTCATGCAAAATTAAAAAAAATTATTTTCATAATTCTTTTGATTATATTGTACCTTCAACTTTGTTCTTTGTCATTAACCACATTCCATCTATTATTTCCTTCTTTTAGAACCAATTCCCTGCCCTATTTCTCTTTTACATCAAGCCCAACTAGCTGAAAGCTTTCTTTATGACAAAAAAAGGAAGGTATGTAATCTCTGTTAGTCCTTTCTGTATAAGTAGCTTCCATAGCTTTGGTATAGTACTATTTTCAGATATGTAGTCAGATGGGAAAAGAAAATGTTCTTACAGACCATGTAACACTTCTTAATTTAAGACTATTTAATCAAACTAATATATATATAAGTAAATTTTATTTCATATAAGACAATATCATAATCTTGCTTTAGACCCCTAATAAACATAGGAGATCGGAAAGTAACAAATAGAACGTAAAATTGCTGGTCCATCTGGACTATGCATATATTTAGTTTGACACAGGAGACAATCTAAACTGCATTTCCAGCTTCAAATGGACCTTTGAAGTATATATATATATATATATATATATATTTTTTTTTTTTAAAAAAAAAAAAAAAAAACCAAAGTGTCTAAATTGAGAATCTAAAACAGGCATATTTAATTCCATGATATATCCAAAAGAACTGCATATCAATTTAGTCTCAGGTCTGCTTGCAGTTCATACATGTAAGTCCACTATTCCTTGAAAATGAATATACCATTATGATCTACGAGCCAGTACTTTACATGTGTCCAAACCCTGTTTACACCTGCTGCATCTTTCTATCACAATAAACAAATACAGTGAATAATCATATAAACTGAAACCATAAGCAGCCACAACCATAAGTGATCAGATTTAAGAAATCAAAACCCACTAAAAAAACTAAAATTTAACAAAACAAATTGGACCCAAGAACTCAAAACCAACTAACAAAAGAACTAACCAAAGTAAAATTAACGTAGCATCAGGATTTTAATCTTTCTTTCATCTTAGATTTGAAGTAATACAGTTCAAAAGAAAAATGAACATACGGGATGAAAAAAAAAATACCAACTGCTATGGTAAGAAAGTGAATTATAATATGTTTACACAATGTATTATTTTCTGTATATTTTTTACTCTAATGAAAGTGACTGGAGATTGTAGTTTTAAGAAGATGCCTTCACCATTTATAAACATTTGAAAAACATGAGCAACCTTTGTAATTTATTTCCTTCATTTTTTCTTGTAGGTCCTAGCAGCAAACAGAACGGGCTGTTAACTGAAAAGTGAGAGCTTATTATGACAGACTACAACAGGGGCTTTCAATGCATGAAATGAAGAGCCTTCAAGTCTTTCCACATGCTTCACACTCTTAGCACTTAATATTCTCAATACTAACTCCATGAAAAAGAAAGTCGTTAAAAAAATGGACAAGGCATAGTTGCCCATAACATATTGAAGAAACTCAGGATACCTTGAGGATAAGAGAGCAAACCGAACCAAAATAGAGAGCAGCTGCCCTATTGTGCATGCATGTCTAGAGTCCTATTCTGAGAGAGCATGTTCTTAATCAATTTCAGTTCCTCAACAGGATGAAGAATGGTCATTCGTTCCCTTGGTGCCTCCAAGGAACATGCTACTCCAATTCTGAATATTAAAATCAAGCACTCGTGGATTTTATCCCTTGTCACTTATGTCCTAGAACTGCTGCTGGCCAAGATTGCTTCCTCCTCGTCCATACCCAACATCTGATCGACAATCTCCGTCGCTTGTTCTGGCAAAGCCGTCTTAGCGAATTTGTGAAGGTTGAACCCATCTGTAAACAGCTATCAGTTGGTCTTTTACCCATGAACATTTCCAACAAAAGGATTCCATAGCTATATACATCACCATGGGCTGACACCTTGCTCCCCATGCCATATTCTTCAAAATTCAAGCATTTCATGTTACAATTTCACAATGATTTCTAGAATTCAAATTATATTTATGTAAAAGTATAACTCAAACACAAAAATAAGTTGATTACCTGGCGCTGCATATCCAATAGTTCCCTTGATACCCATAGAGCTGGTTTGATTTTGAGAAGATTCATTGTTGTGTTGCTGTAGGAACCTTGCTAACCCAAAATCACCCAGACAAGCAGTCATGTCGCTATCAAGAAGAATGTTGCTTGGCTTTAGATCACAATGAACGATTGGTATTTGGCAATGATTATGAAGATAATCCAAAGCAGAAGCCACGTCAATAGCTACATTTAGTCGCTGAAGAAGGTTCAACCTCTTTGGTTCCTGACCAGGTACATCACTTGTTTGCAGAACTGGATGCAACCAAGTCTCGAGACTCCCATTTGGCATGAATTCATATACGAGGGCTTTGAAATCATTGCCGTGAAAGTCAATACTTGAACAAGCAGTTAAGATCTTGAGAAGATTTCTATGGCGAATGTTCCTCAATACTTGGCATTCAGCCATGAAACTCCCAGATGCTCCTCCGTGTTGCAAGTTGAGTACTTTCACTGCAATGGCTATTCCACTTGGGTCAAGAATTCCTTTGTATACTGAACCAAAGCTTCCCATACCAATCAAATTGGTCGACTTGAACCCATCCGTCGCTTTGAGGAGTTGTCCATAAGTAACATTAAGAAATGGTTGCATCAATTCAAATACCGAAGAAGGTTGGTGTTGCTTTCTCTTCTTGACAAGGAGTAGAAAAGATGACAGCAAAATTATCCCTAGAACTCCACAAGCTGTGGGGATTATTGCCTTGAGAATAAGAGATGTTTTCTTCTTCCCTGGTTTATCAGCAGAGCATACTGGCAACTGTAATGCAGGTATACCTCCACAAAGCTTTGTGTTTCCATAAATTGAAATTGCACTTGCATTATCAAAAACTCCTCTTGTAGGTACCTTACCCTTAAGATCATTGAAAGAGAGATTTAAAATCCGTAACAAGCGAAGGTTCCCAAGATCTTTTGGAATTTCACCAGAGAGCTTATTGTGTGAAAGGTCCAATTCTTCAACGGCTGTCAGAGAACTCAAGGACCCTGGAATTAGTCCTTCAAAGGAATTACAATCCATAAGAAGGTGTTCTAAACTTGAGCAACTACCAAGACTGGTAGGAATTTCACCTGATAACTCATTGTGGGAAACATTTAATTCACCAAGATTTTTCAAGTTGGCCACTTCTAAAGGTAGAGGACTGCTGAGCCCATTTTGAGAAAGGTTCAGGGATTTTGTTAAAGATGACAGACCAATAACTTCTGAGGGTATGGTACCACTCAGGTTGTTACCATACAGATGCAACAGAATTAAACTCTTGCAGTTTCCGAGAGCTGAAGGTATGCTTCCTTGAAATTTATTTTCCTCTAACCAGAGCTGGTTCAACAGCGTTAGATTCCCAATGGAGGAAGGGATTTCCCCTGACAGTTTGTTTTTACCAACCCCCATTTCTTGTAGCTTATGAAGTAGTCCGATAGAGGTTGGAATACTTCCTTCCAATTGATTTCCTTCCATATCTAGAGACCATAAGTTCTGGAGATTTCCAATACCTGTTGGAATGTTTCCAGATATTTCATTTCCTCCCACTCCAAAATATTGGAGTTTGTTTGACAGGTTGGCTATGGAACTAGGCAACACCCCTACAAAATTATTGTCGCCTAGAAATAAAATCCTCAATTTGGTACAGTTAGTCAAAGATGAGATGAAATTCAAGTCATTGGCTTTCTTACTCCTCTTAAGAATATTATCCATACTAAGCCAGTACAGGTCCTTTAGTTTTCCAAATTTAATGGGCATCCCACCAGAAAATCTGTTCTCCGAGATGTCAAGCACTTCAAGGTTTGAAGCATTTGACAGTGAAACAGGAATGGATCCGATAATTTTGTTTCCCCAAATATAAAACCATCGAAGATTAGGAAGAGTGAGTGCTAAATTCTGAGGAAGACTTCCTTCAAGTTGATTGTCCGCTGCAATGAACATAGCAAGTGTTGAAATATTATAGATAGATGGAGGGATCTTACCAGATAGTTCATTCCCCATTAGCACAATAAGTGTTAAGCTTTTCAGTTGGCCTAGTGAGTCTGGGATACTTCCTTCCAGCATATTGTTTCCCATTCGAAGAGCTTCAAGAGATGAAAGGTTCCCAAAAGAAGGTGGGATCGCTCCAGTCAAATTGTTGGATAAGATATGTAGCCTCACCAGCTTGGATAATGACCCAAGCTCCACAGGAATTTTCCCTATGAGCTTATTGTATCCTATATCAAGAACTCTTAGGTTAGAACAGTGAGAGAGGCTGGGTGGAATTTGTTTCTCCAACGAGTTGTTCGCCAAGTTCAGAATTTGCAATCTGAATAGAAAACCAATTTCATGAGGGATCCCTCCATGGATGGTGTTGTTTGAGAGATTTATAATTCTGAGGAAACTAAGGTTTCCAATGGAAGGTGATATAGAACCGACCAAATTGCAGGACTGCAAGTTCAAGATGGTGACTCTTTGATGGCGGTGGCCACATGAAACACCATGCCATTGGCAGAAATGGAGAGAGTCATTCCATGAACTTGTGATCAGCATAGGATCATCAGTCATCTTAGCTTTGATGGCAAGCAATGCTAGCCGATCTCTCTCATGTCCTTCAAATATGGTGGTGGTGGGAGAAGCACTATGTAACAAAGGCATGCATATGCACAAGAGAAGAACAGCAGCATAGGGAACAAATAGTTGATATATCCCCATGCTCATGGTCGAAGAAAAAACAACAGTTTACTCAATTACAACATAGAAGGTTACAATTTTGGGAGCCATATATAAACAACCTTTTTCAATATTTCTATTTGGTTAATTTAGGTTCAACAATATTGCGTGTCTATGAGATACCTTTGGTGGACTTAGGCTTCCATAAGGGTTGTTTTTCTTCAAGTTCTAGAAATTTATTGGTTCTACAAGGTGATTATGACCCAAATGAGCATTAGTTTTTTTTAGTGGAAGACTTGAAGTGGAGATGATTTTGGTGGAGATGATTGTGATATTTAGAAGAAACATGGTCACATTATCTTAGGCTTCCATGAGGGTTGTTTTTCTTCGAGTTCTAGAAATTGATTGGTTCTACAAGGTGATTATGACCCAAATGAGCATTAGTTTTTTTTTGGTGGAAGACTTAAATGGAGATGATTTTGGTGGAAGACTTTTAGTGGAGGTGATTATGATATTTAGAAGAAACATGATCACATTATCTTAGGCTTCCATGAGGGTTGTTTTTCTTCAGTTCTAGAAATTGATTGGTGCTACAAGGTGATTATGACCCAAATGAGCATTAGTATTTTTTGGTGGAAGACTTGAAGCGGAGATGATTTTGGTGGAAGACTTGAAGTGGAGATGATTGTGATATTATCTTGACCGTCATTCCACGAGATCCACATCATTCTCAAAGTCCTAAAACTTAAGTCCTACTTCATCATGTAAAGCTTAATTGAAAAGTGAGCTTGCAAGGAGTGTCACTTTGGACTTTGAAGTCTTGCAACCTTATACTGTAAGACGCAGTGCTTCATTAATTAATTGGTAAGAGTCCCTTCCAAAGTAGTAATAGTAAATTTTAAAAGCCCTCAAGCCTACGAGATCTCATAATTAGTCAAGTGATTCACACCAGTTATATATACTTGTGAAGCACACATCCCATAAATTTGAATATCAATTACCTTCATCATGAAGAATTGATTTTCCAATTTATGATGAAGATTAAGGTAAAACTAACATAAGAGATCGGGAAGTAACAAATAGAGCATATTGAATCTAAATCAGACATTTAATTCCATGACAGCCATTAATTGCATGTAAATTTGGTCTCAGCAAAAGACACTTATTATTTTCCATTCTCAACAAGTGAGTTCAAATCTCTTTGGGAACAAGGTGAGTGCATGTAGGACCGCCAATACCAGATCGGCATGCAACTACCCAATACTTTACACGTGTCCAAACCCTGTTTACACCTGTTGCATCTCTCCATCACTACGAACAAAATACAATGAATAACCATATAAACTAAAAATAAAACCCTGAGCAGCCACACAAGTGATTAGATTTAAGAAATCAAAACCAACTAAAATAAAACAAATTGACCTCGAGAATTCCAAGACAACTAGCAAAAGAACAAAACAAAGTACAATTACCATAGGATCGGGATTTTGAAGTCTTCTTTCATCTTTAGATATGACGTAATACAGTTCAAAAGAAGAAGAAAAAGAAAACACAACATAAAAGTTGAAAAGAAAAAACTAGCTAAGAGGACATTATAATGATATGGAAACGTCAAGCCTTGATTCGATGCTCTTCAGTGCAAAGTTCACTTCTTGGATTTCTTAGAACCCCTGTAAAAAGAAATGCTTCTCAAAATCATATCGCAACAACCTAATTTAGTAATAGCAACATAATCTCCTAATTACTTACTGAGTTGGTTGAGCTGGAGGGGCAGATGCTGCTGCAGCTGGGGGTGGTGCTTTCTCTCCGGGTCCCTTAATTGAAACACAATAATAAACAATCAAAATTCCAAGAAACATAAACTAAGCTAGACCTCTGGTACACTAATCTTACTCAGATTAGTACATATAACACAATACGAAAAAAAAAAAAAAAAAAAAAACGAAGAAAAAAAAAAACCAAAAATTTAGGTGAACAAGGTGACTCTTTTTTTTTAACTATACAAATACATCCAGGCCAACATGAAATGAGAAATCCCCTAAATATTAATGAATGAAAATGAGACTTATTCACTGTTGTCCTAAAATAGTATCAGTAGGAGTGATTGAGAGTCCACTAATCACATGGTATCTGTACACCTCCACAGCATTTAAGCCAACTATGATCATTGCCTCAGCAGGCGATTCAAAAAACCTGTAGTTCATAACTAAAAATAATTATGACACGATTAACTAAACGTGTTAGATAAACGTTTCGTGTTCATGTAAAAAATGACTCATTTAGCTAAGCGTGTAGAATAAACATGTCGTATTCGTGACAAAAATGACTTAAATGTGTATTTTCGTATCATATCAAGTCTTGACTCATTTATTAAACAGGTTACGCGTGTTGTGTCGTGTTACGCGTGTAATAATCGTGTCGTGTTCGTGTCAACCATAATCGTGTCGTGTTCGTGTCATAATCGTGTCGACACGAACACAACACACCAACACGAATTGCCACTCCTACTTATAATAGTAAATATATACAAAAAAACATCTCTTACTTTAAGTAAAACAAAGGTTCCCAAGATCTCCTGCTATGCATTTTACCTGGGCTAGACGTTCCTCTCTCCTGGCGAACTTCCTTTCCCTGCTAGCTTTATTCTTTGCTCGCTTTGCTTCAAACTGGTCAGACAAGGTCTTCTCTCTTGCCTTTTCAGCCTTGGACTTGTGGATGCTCTCCATTAATACTCGTTTGTTCTTAAACACGTTACCTTTCACCTTCATGTACATGTCATGATACATGTGCTTGTCAATCTTCTTTGATTCCCGATACTTGCGGAGCAAACGCCTCAGCACCCTCATCCTCCTCATCCATAGTATTTTTGTGGGCAACCTTGCCTCCCTTGTACCCTTGCGTTTACCTGAAATCATTCCAATAAACAGCATCAAAGAGAGTTTCCACTCCACTCAACCACAGCTGTGGCAAGAACAACAAAGTGCCAATCAACATTGCATCTATCTATTAGAGGCTACAAGAATAAAAGTGAATGACAACAGGAAGTATAGCCAACAGTAACAAAGATTTCTACTTTATCATGACAATAATTTTGTTTTTGTTTTTGTTTTTGTTTTGTTTTTTTTTTTTTTTTGTTTTTCCAACCTTTTCCCTGCTTGTTTACTGTTAGAATAAAGTGTTATCCAATGGTTATTTTTGGATACAAATATGTTCATAGTTACAATTTCTAAAGATGATTTTGGGTGACTTCATTCTATAAATATGATTTTTACCATTAATATACATGTCTTAACAGAACACCTACCCATCTAAAATCAATATAACACCACAAATTTTACAAGATACCATGAACTTTTAAAATACTTATCAAAAAAAAAAAAAAAAAAAGATACCATGAACTTAAAACAAAATTGTTGCAATTCAGATATTAAAAAATATAATACCATATCCAGAGTGACGGCCCTTTCTCTTGGCCTCCTTCATTCGGCGAGCACGAGATCGTGAGTGAATCTTTGTCGGTTTCCTGATGATAAAACCATCCTTGACAAGCTTCCTGATGTTTTGACCTGCAGGCAATAAACCAAATAAATACATTAACATAAACCGGAATAAAAGGAATAACGATAGACTCCGGATGAAGATAAATGACCTAACCAAAAAATAATATATTAATCTTATAGTAGAATGGAAAGAAAAGGGTTCATATAGCCATACGTAATCTGTAGTAAGGATAAAACTTTGTTGAACTGAGTAATATAAATTTACAAAATTAAACCTAACCTAGAAAGGCTAGAAATATAACACTTGAGCAGCTTATAGAAGTTTTAACTTGTGTATCATATAGGTGAATCATCCAACTTAAGGCCTTACTTTGAAATTACCAACACTATATGATTAACGGACGGGAGCAAAGACCCAAGTTTGGCCTCTTTCTAAAAATTACAACAATTCTCTTTTATTCCAATAATAATTCAATCATCAACAAATGTAGGAAATAAATAAATCTGCAATCAAACCATAAGTTTAGATTCACAAAAAATCATCAACGCCTACATATAGGTATGAAAATACAGAAAGTGACCTAACGAACTTTATTCATCTGAATTTTGCAAAACCCATTGAAATCACATAGTAAGAATCTTGCTTATAAATAACTTTGCCATCTTATTTTCCATTCTTAAAACTAGACTAGATTCAATCGCGTGTAACAATCTAGAACTGAGATGCAAGTTCATAATAGTAACAGTTAAAAATATTGCAGGCGAAGATCGGGCTAAGGTTATTGATTTCTATTTTAATGTAAAGGAGACAATATTAACAAAAGTAATGGAAACAAATCGACTAAAGAGCGAACAGATCTTCAAGAAACAATTAAGAAAATGTGTATATATGTATTTAAAAAAAAGTACATAAACATATATATCCATATATAGATATAGGAAACGTACGAGAATTAGCCATGGATATTTCGTTAACTTCATTGGGATCAAGCCAAACCTTGCCCCTCCCGCACTTGAGGACGCTGGCGGAAAGCCGCTTCTGGAGCTTCAGCGACACCATCTCTTTCTGTGTGTGCTGCGAATGAGAGGAGACAAATGAGAAGAAGATTAGGATTTTATATCACAGTGAGCCCTAGGGTTTTTTGAAGGGCTTTTCTTTATTTGGGCTTTCTGCTGGGCTTCGTGGACAATGAGTCCAACCCAACCCCGGTACCTTGTCAAGAAGCTAAAATTTGAAGTTAAACGTTAGAGCTCAGTCCAAGGATGTTGCTAGCCTGCTGCTGATTAGTTCTTCAAAATAATACAGATATTCATTTCTTGACTTATTGTAACAAGGTTTATTTGTGCCGCATCGAATGCGGATGGAAAGATAATTGGGTATATATTGGTGAATTTGTAGCACTACCTAACAACTTGAATTTTTGGGTAAATGGGTAAGTGCTCACTCGTTACAGTTGGTATCAGAGTTAGACTCAAAGCGTAAGCAGGGTGGCCCGTTGGTAGTTTGGATCCGGATAGAAAAGTGATTAGGTATAGATAGGTGGGTATGCAGCACTACCCAACAACTTAAATTTTTTAATAAATAAACAAGTATGGAATTAATTTACACTTAGCTTAATGGGGGCTTAAGCATGAAACTTAATTCGACAAATTTTTTAATTGATATTGCTGCCATGGGGAGATATTCAGATTTTTATTAGGCACATGATACATGGAAACTAGTTTTTGTCAAGAGCATAGTGTGAGGCTTTTTGATAATATTGTCATTGGAGAACCTCTCTATTTTTATTTTACATTCTTTTTAATTTGATTTTTAGTCTCCTTTATTACTTATGTTAATCAAAATGGAATAAGAGAAAATCATTCTCTATATTGTTCTCTGTTTTTATTTTATATATTGTCCTTAAGTAATATTATTATATATTGATCGTGTTCTTAAAATTTCGATCAACAATATTGATAAACTAAATTCTCTACATTTAAAATTTTTACTTACTCCATCTGATTGAGTAAATATTCTACAATTCATTAAAGATTTTAATTTTTTTTAGTTGACAACGGCTTTCATCAATTCAATATGTTCTTGTATCACTGCCTCCTCTAGGGTTCAGTTCATGCCTTGCTTGAATCGTGCTCTTTTTAGGACCTGTAATGTAGAATTTTATTATTCCTTGCTCTTAAAAAATTAATCCCTACAAATTATTTATTTATGAATTCGCAGCTAAATTGATGGATTAAAAAACTAATTTGATCCACAGAGATATGATCGGGATCACAAATCAAATGAACACTCCTATCGTAGAAATGTTACAATGTCATAAAATGAAACAAGACATACGAGTGATAAAATAAAAAATCTAACAAAATATGCCAACTTAATTGATAAAAATTATACCAACAAAATTATGCCTACAAATAATATCATTTCAATAATAATTGACAAAAATTACTTTGCAGTTCTTAAATGAAGCATATGTGTTTACGGATTTGCCTGGTCAAAACTTTTATGTTATGCCACAAGAAACGATCGAACACAAAATAATAGATTTTCGATCTATTTGTCAATGCGGCTCAATGTTTATGGTTGATTAAAGAGTAAGTATTAGGCTCATAAACAAACTTTTAAGTTTGATAATATGACAGTCATAAAAAAATAGTGGAGGTTGGATAGAATTTTCCTGGAGAGATTGAGAAAGGTGAGAAAGGTTAGCCCAAAGTCAAGGCTAGAATAGAAATAAAAAAAATTTGGCGTGTTTAATTATTATCATTTCCTTCCTAGAAACACAAAATCTTGGCTCTTAACTATTGTCCTTTTGGTTTAGATCCAACTATGTTTTGTGAAATTGATGTTAGTATGATTTTTATTTTCTCTTTGTTCTTTATTATTTTCTTTATTTTTCGATCTTCTACCCAATATTGTCCATCTTTCTTCCTGCAGGCCTATCCACACCATACCTAAAAACCTTTAATGAATTTGACAAAATATAGTTGGATCTAGACCAAAAGGAAAATAGTTAAGATCAAAGTGTTTTTTTATTTCTATTCTAGCCTCGACTTTGGACTAACCTTTCTCACCTTTCTCAATCTCTCCATCCTCCATTATTTTTTTTATGACTCTGTTATATCTTATTCACGAATTTCTACTCAAATCTTGATTTTGCATTCACCATTAATTATTGGATTTCTTCATAAAAACTCTATCCAACCACCATTAGTTTTTGATAATTTCGTCTTATCTTATTCAAAAATGTATACTATAAATTGGACTTTGCGTTCACCATACTTGATTTGTCTATAATTTTCACTCTTTTTTTATCGCTCCTTCTTTTCTTATTTCTTTTTTACGATTTTTTTATACTAATCTGGACTTTGCTTTTACTATTATCGATCTCTCAAAAAAAATTATTCAACCTCCACTATTTCTTGATGATTTCGTCTTTTATCTTATTTCAAAAAATTGATGTCTCCTGTGTAACCTAAGCATGGAAGGTTATAATAAAATCAACAGAGATCTACTACATCTCTCACCTACCACAATCTATACTCTCAAAAGTATATATTTAATTAACATGTATTGATAGCATGAGTTCTCTTATTTAATGGATGAAATTGACTTATTGCGATTGCCCACAACCCTTAGAAATGTACCTAATATCTGCTATTATGTTTCATTTTGAAATACTATGTTAAATAAAAATATTAATTATCTCAAAAAAATAAAAATAAAAATAAAAAATACTTTGTTTAATGAATCTGATAGAGTAGTTGATGAACACCCTTGTCAACCAATCAAACCCTAGTGGGTAATCCATCAAGTTAATGGGACTAGCTTTTTTGTTCGTAGATATTATAGTGACCCCATAGTTATAAGTTGCAACATCCAAGATTTCCAAACATCCGACAAATATTTGAAAATAAAGAAATGTTTTTTTTTTTTTTTGAAGAAAAAGAGTAGATTATATTATAAAATATAAGGTGCACTCAATATAAATTGATTCATTAACTTGACATTGTGTAATACGTTGTAATAGATTATTTTGATTAATGGTATAAAAACTAGATATGATACCGGACTATAAAGATGAATAGATATTGCAGAATCAAGTTCAAAATTTTGTAGTATAACTATAGAAGATTAATTTTATCATCTTAAATGGACTTTTTTGGAGTCGTTCAGAAAAATAGATATCTCCAAAAATTATATCAGGCCTTTTATTTGTAATTCAGTACAAATTCACAAAGTATCATTCATACATCTATTGCCACGCGATCACCACAGGTGAATTGACGTGGTGCTTCCCGTCTGTCCACGTCAACTTACCAAACTGATTGTAAATGATCCCAGGTGGCGAATTCGATTTTCCAGCCGAAATCCGAACCACAAAGCTCTTTTTTTGTCCCCTCTTTTTGAACTCCATCTTTGGGGGATCAACGGTCATGATTGCACCTCTTGGATTGGAAACTTTAACGTGGTAACTGGATGCACCGTGGCTAACCTGTGTCACTGTTCTCTTAACTACAACCTCCGAGGATGGTGCTGATGCATTAAAAACAACCGCGATTGCTGGGTAGTTTATATTCCACGGTTTATTTTGCTTGCTTCTGCATTTCACTGGTGTATGTGTGACTTGGATCATTTCACGACGGCTATAATTGGAAGCGCAAAGAAAGTCCAAGTAATCATGCACCGTCAGATCGTACACCAAGCCAGGATCCATTGCCTTTTTAGGATCCACATGTCCTGCACCCATGTCCTGCACCGTTACTTTCTTTAAGGATTCCTCATCAACCAAGGGCTTCCCATCGTGGTCGTGCATGTACGCTGTGGTCATCATAGCTGACCGGATCATAGCCGGTGACCAATCCGGGTAAACCCCTTTAAGTAAAACCGCAATTCCAGCCACATGTGGGCAAGACATGGACGTACCCGAAATTATATTAAACGCCGTGCGTCTCTTATCGAATGGTGATTCCGTTGGAGGCGCGAGATCAGTCCACGCCGCTAGGATGTTGACACCTGGCGCAATTATGTCAGGTTTGACCACGTAATTGGATATAGTGTTGGGACCTCTTGATGAAAAGGAGGCAACCATAGGTGACGGTTTCACTCCGACCTGGGTCCCGCGAAAGATGATTGTTGCCTTCGGGTTCGATGAAGAGTTTATATAACGTAGAACTGTTTCACGGGCTGAATGGGCGATACTCATTCCCGGAATCACATGAGGATCAGGAGATATAAATTCATCTCCTGATTCGATATTGGCAACAATCACTCCGGCCCCACCAGCTTCCTTTACGATCTCTCCCTTCTCGACACGTGTAATCAAACCTCTATCACACAACACGATCTTGCCGCGTACGCGATACTTTTCCAGCGTACCGTTCAAACAAAGCCCTTCCCCTTTCCTGATATCGGCTGCGTAAATCAGGGGCAAATACGTCTTTTGAGGTAATGGCTTGCCACCATACAAGGAAGCTCCGGCTATAACCTGACCGTTTCCTAACAAAAGATCCGCCGTAAAGTTCCTGTCTATTGTGCTGGCACCGACTGTGGTGATCCACGGAGCTACATTCTCTACCGTCATCTCAAAGGGACCATCGTTACCGGCTGAAGCAGAAACAAGAATTCCTTTCTGCATTGCCCCGAAGGAGCCAATGGCAATAGGGTCGTCGTAATAAGGAACCGTGGAGGCGCCGAGGGAGAGAGAAATGATGTCGACGCCGTCTTCCACTGCCCTGTCGAAGGCGGCGAGTATGTCGGATTCCTTGCAACCGTTGTACCAGCAAACTTTGTATACAGCGATTCTTGCTTTTGGTGCGATTCCGGAGGCAACACCTTTTGCTAAGCCGAAGAGGGAGGCATTGCGGACGAGGTTTCCGGCGATCGTGGATGCGGTGTGACTGCCGTGACCGTCCGAATCTCTAGCAGACCTGACGCCCGTACTGATGTTAATTCTGCCGTTTTCGGCTTCGTAACCGGCGGTAAAGTACCTCGCTCCGATGATCTTTCTGTTGCAGAGGGTTTTGGAGAACCTTTCTCCTTCTGTACACTCTCCCTTCCAACGAGAAGGGACGGGTCCGAGGCCTTTGTCGCGAAAACTACGTCGTTCTGGCCATATACCAGTGTCAAAAACTCCAACTATGACGTCATCACCGAAATTTGCCTCTGCTAAGAGGCCGTTTGGGTTGGTTGGGGAGAGTCCAAGGAATGCAGGTGATCGAGTGGTGTGAAGTTGATGAAGTCGGTCCGGTAAGACCGCAAGAATACTTGGGTGTTTCTTCAATTCCTCTGCTTGTTGTGTGGTGAGACTGGCAGAGAAACCATGGAAAACAGTCTTGTACACATGCAGGAAGTCTTGGTTGATTGTTTTGGGCTTTTCAGAGTTTAAAGGGTTGGAATTAAGACTTTGAAGGGTAGTCTTGTACCAATGTTCAACGCTAGAAAACACAGATGGTTTCAAATTGTTATCAACTCTAACTATGAAGGTTTTGGTATTGCTGTCACCATAAATGACTGAGAAACAGAGAAAAACAGTGAAAGGCAGAGCCCATAAACAACCCATTTGAGAGAGAGATAGACGATGATTAGGGTGGTTTATAAAGTAATCAAGTTTGTGACTATATAGCATGAAGATATTTAAAAATTAAAGAGACAAAATAGAGTTAAGAGATGGTGGCAGATGGGATTGAACTACCGCCGAGAGTTTCGTAAATTATGGTAATGGAATAATGGATTAATGTAATAGTACAACCAAATTAATGGGTTACATTGAAGGAAAGAAGATTTCTTTTCTGTACCTAATAATTTTACCTAGTCTTTCCTTAATTATAATTAGGAGATATTTTCAAAATTAATTGTCTTTTGTGCATTAAAGTATGCAAGAGGAGAGAAATTAGCTGGATGGGGTTTTTACGAAAATGGAGAGAATTCGTTATTTTAGAGTGAGATATGCACAGTTCATTTTCCTTTTTCATTTCCATTTCCATTTCAAGTTTTATTAGGAGTTAATTTGATAATCATGGTCTTCACAAAAATGTTACCTTATTTAACGTCCAATTTTTCTTGTTAGGTAAACTTGCTTCATATATATATATAGTCCATTATCCTTTTTCTTTAATAATTTACAAATTTATTTTTTCTCCCTCTATTTTAATATGAACTATTTTAATTATCAAATCATAAATCATAATCAAATCACTATTTTTGATAAATATATCTATATATATATATATGATCATTTTTGATTTGGTAATTAAATGTTACATATTAATTTATTATTGGTCCAGATGAATATATTGTAAATCCTCACTAATAAAGACTAAGTATTATCCTTAAATTAACGTAAATTTTTAAATTTTAAATGGTTTATGAATTTTAAAAAGGAAACATGCATTGATTACACAATTTGCGTCTTTCTTAAAAAGTAAAAATTCGTAAAGTAATAGTATAATATTAGGAGTGAGGTAGTATATACATATATATAGAGTAATGATAGGAATCCTCTCCAACGTATTATGAGCGGACACAGATGCCTTCCAAACAAGGAAACAATTTAACTATTCGAACGACTCACATAAATCAATCAAATTGTTCTGATTCCTAATTTTTAATTAATTAATAATAATAATTATTATTATTATGTTTGTGGACGGATGAGTAGTTCAAAGCGAGGTAACTCATTTATAATATAATTAGTTTGCATAATTGAAAGTTTAGAAAATAATAAGCCAACTACTAGAATGATTTTTAATAAGTGGAGTATAGATTTATTTCATTTCTAAGACAAATCACGACGAATATACAAATGCAAATTTTATTAGCAAAAATAATTTACAGTTCAAAAGTGTAACCCAATGATACAGAGTGAGATGTGAGTTGGGCTCTCTTTGGTTATTTAAATCATTTTAGCGTGATATTCTTGCAATATGTATAGAGTAGGATCTTGTGTCGAGTAGTTTTGCATACAATGTGTACCCTTATGTCATTGTAAGTATAGTTGGAGGAGTGTTACAGGGAGTCCCTTAAATAATTGTCCCTTTACAGTCACTTTTAGAATTTATTATTCAATAAATCACATTACTAAGGTGTTATTTGATTACTCAATTTAATATTTAGTTTTGAATATGTATCAAAAGTTTATTTAATTAAGTATATTTTATAACACATTTTGAATATTTTTGAAAATGAAAACGTCACTTAAAATAAAGTAAAATTTTAAATGATATGGATATAAATTATCACTAATTATTATTAAATTAATTTGATAACTCATTTTGAATATACTTGAAAACGGTAAGTCTCACTTTAAAGTGAAATAAAATTTTAAGTAAGATGAATATCAGTTATCATTAATAACTGAGCTCCACGCCCGTATGGAGCGATGAAGAGATAGAGATGAGAAAGACTTAAAATGATAAGAGAAGAAATGCTTCAAAGGACTTAAAAAGGGTTATCTCAAAAAGTGACATTTTTAGAGCCCCATCCAAATAGGATACAAGATTAATTGATGTGTTTAAAAATAAGTTTTCTCATTGGTTGAATAACAAATTCTAGAAGCCATCGTGGAGGGACAGCCACATAAGAAAGAATCTATTTACATAAGTTTTTTTTATTTTCTTCTCTAAATCGATCACAACATATGGATCGAGATGAGAGGAAAAACAACAGTGGTGAATCCATCCAATGTGAGCGCATATATACTAGCAGTTAAAAACAATTGAAAAAGTAAAGGAAGGAATGAGAAGGTTATATTTGTGTGTGTGTGTGTGTGAGAGAGAGAGAGAGAGAGAAATGAAAGAAAGAATTTAGAAGGATAATTTAGTTTTAAAAGTTTAAGTTTTAAGATTTCATAAAAATATGAATTAAAGAGATATTAATGAGGGTAAAGAGCAAAAAAAACTCTTAAATTATTGCACTCTAAATAACATCCTGAACACATTACCTCTTAACTATTGATTTGTTATAGCTAATGACAAATCCTTTATAAAAGACTATTTTATCATTTCTTATTAAACTATTTTTATTATCTTTTCCCTTGTCTAAATATTAATTATACCATTTATCTTTATTTTATTATTAGTATAAAAAAATAAAAAAATAAAAAAATATATTTGTAACTATTATTTTCTAAAATGATAAACTTATTATTACAACTTTATTATTTATAATAAAATCTTTTATACTCACTTTAAACATTTTAGCATAAAAATACTTTTTTTAATGCAATATATTCATGAAAAATTAATAAATACTTGTCACGACCCTAGACCGTAATCCAGGTTGTGAACATAAAACAAAACAAAGAAATACTCATATTCAGAAATGTCTGACTGAGTCCTGGAACACTGTCTAAAAATTTTTGATAAAACTTTGACACTCAAGGCTGATAATAAGAAAAAATAAAAGTAGGTTTCATACGCAAAACCCCATAATCCTTTAATTATAATAATTAAACAAAATCTATTTGGAAGAATATTTACAAATATACATGTTGGTCTCAAAATATACATTTCCCATTTATACAAAGATATATAACCAAATAGAACCCAACATCCATCCATGGCTGTGGAGGAATTCCCTCTACGACCTCTTATCCATAACCTGAAAAAAAATGTATATATAATAGGAATGAGCAACCACAGCTCAGCAGGAAATGCCTAACCACCACTCCTTAATACCCCCATAAATCCAAACAAAGAATAGGAAGTAGAAACGGAGTTATACAAGTTAAGGGGAAAATAATCATCATATCATCATGCTGTCTCACAAAACAGTCAACATAGGAGAATATGAAGTGCCATATACACAGAGTCTAAACCATTTCCCTTATTACAACCTTCTATACAAATAATCACATTTCTCATTATCACAACCATCAGTCTAAAGGTATGCCCCTGTATCGTGAAAAGACTATCCCTCTATTAATACCTAAGGAACTCTTTAGTATTAATGATTTACTGCACCTAGACAAAAGGATAACCACTCATGTTTAATGATAAACACAAACTGAGAATATTCATCTCTATTACTCCATAATTATTCTTTCCAATCAATATCTTAGTTGGTCCTATGCTATACCAGGAGAAAAATAATCACAATATCACATTTATAAACCAAGTCATGAATAAATATGCCATGCAATGGGTGCAATGTCATGCGATGTCGCTCCCCATTTTTCTAATTCACTTCAAGAATTGACTTTTCAAATCGTTAATGTAACCTGTTCCTCGGTACCCCCTTGGCGACACGAGAGAAGGATTGACCACTGTCCCTGACCCTTGGTAACCCCGCGGCGTCATTTGGGGCCCAGTTGGCTCAACCATGCTAGGGTGATCTCCCTAATTCTCTCTAGGCTACATTAACGCCACGGATCCTCGGTACCTCCTTGGCATCCGGGTTTTCACAAAATCTTTTTCTCAAAATATTTCCCCAAAAAAAATTCAGCTTGCTTTCCAATCAAAACTCCTCCTTAACAAATCAGTTTTGTCCCATTGCTTCCTAATGTAATACATGATTGACACATGCTTCACAATATTATAATACCACATCATTACTCACATCAAAATCCAATTCTGTAAACATACTTTGGCAACAAATTTATCATGGCAGCAAGCTTCACAATGACATACTATCACAGCCTTCAAGAAATCAACATAAGCATGTTTTCATCTAATCTATATAACATAGAAGTTATTAGACATAGAAAACATATAGAAATTCTATGGACACACTTTGGCAGCAAATTTATCATGGCAGCATGTTTCAAGGATAATGTATCATTCAGTTTTTAAACACTATTACAACACCAAACTTATAACAAAATAACCCATAATTGAAGTGAACTAAATATATGATTTCCAACTTGTTAAACAATAACAATACAACCATTGTGATTACTAGAATTTCAGTTTTTAGGCACATAAACATCAACAACATTTTAATAGCTCAAATTTCATATTTAAAACACATAACACATCATTCTGTCTAAGCTACAAAATTTAAGATTTTGATTACACTACATGCTTGTAAAGAAAGCCTAATTCAAGTCATATAATGGTTCAACTTAAAGGATTTAATTCACAAGGAAACAAATGGTGTGAGGGTTAAAACAACCCCTACTAGTTGTTAACAATTCATACGCAGCTTGTTACCTTCATCTTTGAAAATTCATAACAATTTCAATTCTAAGTCAAATTGAGTGATTTCAAAGCCTAATGAAAGCTTAAACAATGTACTTTGAAAGTGTCAATTTAGTTTAACAAAATCCCTTCCAAATTGGAACAGTTTTGACCCAAAATTTTGAAATAAAATATGCCCAGAAACTGATTTCTAGCCTGTAGCTTCCATCTTTGAAAAATCATAAAAATCCCAATTCTCATCCAAATTGAGTGAATACAAAGGCCAGTGAAATTTCAAAGACTATATTTTCAAGATAAAATTTTACTTCACCAAAATACCTTACCATTTAAAGCAGGTTTGATGAGAAAGACTCGGACAGAATCTGCCCCAACCCAGAATTTCTAGCAAGAACACTCTAACTTCAAAAATTCATAGTAAATTCAT